ATTGAGTAGACTACAGCTCCAGCACTATAATCTCATCCAGTTTCTGACCCAGCATAAACACAGCAGTTATGAACTCCAATTCACCCTTTTATTGGCAAATCACTGCTTTCCACTCATAACCTGTCCCCCTTTGTCGGATTTTTATATAAACACACGTCATGCATATCAAAGGAACATGTACACACAATCATTATGAGCTGAGGGCTGTCTCTCTGCATGCCTGAATGAATAATCCAGCACGTCCCACATTGTGTGCCGTTTTCAATTTGGGGGCCGTCATAATCTGTAAATATGTAATTGAAGACATTCATTGTTGTGCGTGTGGGTGTACGTACATCCGCTCGCACTATTATTTCCAAGCCCTCGTATGGTAGATCAAACAGGTGCGGTGTGGGTTTTATTACTGTAATGTGAGCGCAAGTAATTTGCGTGAAAGAGCGTCCAGTACGCATGGCTCCGATTAGCCATTGAAACTGTGTTTTTGTATACATGTGTGTGTGTGTGTGTATATCTGAAGCGACCTCCCTCGGAGAAGTTTGGTTTGAAGTCAAGGTCGTGGGTCTCTCCCAGGGCCAACGAGCCTCCATTGACCAATTTGTCTTTGTTAGTGGAACATAGCTACAGAGTAGCCTAAATGTACTTCAGAAAGCAGCCCGCCATCTACGTACCTCCATCGCTCTCACTCTTCCGGCCAATGCCTCTCTCAATGGCTTAATCGATGGTGGGTGGTTGATCAGAGGAGGAGGTATATTGAGATTTATGGGGACGTTTGGACTGCGATACGACTGCTGTGTGGACCGGTGCCCAAGCACACCCGAGAGGGGACTTAAGATGGCGTCATTGATCTCACTCATAATTAGCGCAGAGAGGAGCTAGATGCAGAATTCCAGCACGTTGCCCGATGTGAATAATTTAGCGAGCACAGCATGAAGTCATCCTTTGAAGTGCAGCTTTGAAGACCCCCCCACCCCAGTCTCAAACACCCCGCTGTTTTCAAAGCAACTCCCAAAAAAACAGCTAACGGTGTTCACTTTCAGAAAGCATTCTATTGACTTGGACACTTGAGTTCACCTGCACACTTTGACTTGATGTGTGTAAGAACACTTCCTCTAACTATGTCTTTGGTCCTGTCCAGTCTTATCCTTAACGCACACACGTGTGCGCAAGGCAAACAGACTTCCTCTGCAAAAATAGTACACAGATGCTCACATTCTCAGTGTTTTGACAAACACTCTTGTCCTGTTCCAAAACAGTGAGCTGAATACCCAGGCATCACAGACAGACTCCCAAGATGGCAAGGGAATATTAATTAGAAGTAAACGTATATTTCATTCACTGAGATGTGTTGTGTATTTTCATGCTTGAAAGTATATTGAAACCAGTTGAGTCAAGTCTCTCCAGTGCATAGTGCTATTTGTGTGGCACACAAGTTGCTGCTGATGTCCATGATTAATCCAGCACGTCCCACATTGTGAGCTGTTCTCAATTTGGGGCCCGTCATGATCTGTATATGTGCAATTGAAGGCATTCATTGTTGTGCGTGTAGGTGTATGTATATCCGTTCGCATTTCCAAGCCCACGTATGGCAGATCAAACAAGTGCGGTGTGGGTTTCATTACTGTAATGTGGCAATATTTGTGTGAGTTATGTATTTTCATGCTTCAAACTGTATTGGAACTAGTTGAGCCGAGTCTCTCCAGTGCATAGTGCTATTTATGTGGCATATAAGTTGTTGACGATGTAGAGCATTCCAAATCGGACACTTCTGAGGTTCCGCGACGGTTCTGATGTAGGCAGCGTAGTTTTGGAACACAACTTCTCTCTCTCCTTCTGGGTGGAGGGCTTGTGCTAAGAAGGCAGTAGGAAGTTAGTGGAGTTCACAGTTGACAAGGAGACTTGTGGTGGACTCTAATTTGAGCACTCACAGTGGATGACAGTGGTTTGTGGTGGCACGTTATTTCTGCTCCGTCAACGAATCACTTGTCTCACCCTGATGCCCTCTCTCTCTCTCTGTCTTGTTTGCTTTCTCTATGGGAACCAAGAGCCAGCAACACCATTAAATTCAGCATGCTATATGAAATTCTGAGGCCTAGCTTAGCAGGTGTCATGTATCTTCAGCTCTCTGTGCCATTCTCTCTGGTTCTTGCCATTTAATGTGATTTGTGTGCTTCTGCTAAGAATATAAATGTGAATATAAACTCTACCTGACACTGGGAGTATGGAATATTTTATCTTTTTCATTGTAACATTTTCTAATCACATATTCCTTATTTCTGGGCTTTCATAAGTGTCAGGCCAGATGTTTTGAATTTCTTGAGGAGTAGTTTATCTTGTATTTAAGGATGCCCTGCTTTCTGTTTGCTAAACGAACTGTTTTACCGTAGTGCTGTATTGCATTTATGCCGTATTGACCTGCTCAAATGAATGGAGAAACATGCTGAAGCAACAAGCTCTTTTAACACACTTTACATTTCAAAACTAGCTGTTAAAATGTTATGTTTCTTCCATCATTAAAGCAGGTAGCTATTCAATAGCTTGTAAATTCCTTGTTGACCATAGCTGCACATTTATTAAAATTTCAAAGGTTTGCTGATTCATATCAAAGTGTAATTTTAAAAACATGATAATGTTACATAGACTCAACTATTTGGAAGGTATTTTTATTAGAACCTATTAGTGGAGCGTTAGATGTTAACAGACATCCCTATTTACCAAATGTGAATGTGCCAGTGAGCACGTCTGCACTGATGCTTGTCTTCCCTCCTCCAACATTTTGCAATTCACTTTCAGAAAATATTAAGATATTGTTGTCTACAAATGCACCCTTTAGTGATGGTTCCTGCTGACCCTCCTTTCCTGGTGCCCCCTTGATCCTAACCAGCATTAAAAAAGTTTAGGTTTAGTCAATCTGCTCTTGCTATTAATGCACCATTAAAATATGTCCTGCAGGGAGAATATTAAAGCACAACATTGACGATCAAATCCAAACCTGGGGCCAAGTGAGCTCATCACACAGTCCAAACCCACACCCTGTGGCATTTCCACACTGTGTTTAACATGCACACAGGCACAAATATACAGCAAAGCTATCAGAAACACTCTTATACATGCTTTTTCCCCACATACACTCAACCTTACAGGCACGCAAATTCACAATTGCTGTGGCTATAGGATTAACCGGGGTATATTACCTGGATTCAGAATTGAAGAGGTAAAGTCACAGATAGAAAACCAGGAAATAACTTTAGTCACGATGGTTAATGACTTGTTCACGCACAGTTTGGTGACAGTTAGTCTTAACTGGCTTTTATTTACATTATTAATGGTATTAGTAATGCTGTACCTGTTTTTACAGGCAAATGTTCTCAGAATAAAAGGTATATTTAAAAAAATTTTTAAACAAGTTTACAAATGTCTGAATAGAATCCACAGCAGTTTGTGAAATCATTTTAAAAGTGTGTGTGAAGATGAGTATTAGTTTTTCATTAGGAATGAATACTAGGGAACAAAAACAAAAAGATATATTGATGCAGTTTTTATTTTTAAAACTTACTGTGATCCACCCAACAGTCATTTCATCATGTGATTTGATTAATCGATTTGCTTAAAGGGATAGTTCACCCAAAAATGAAAATTCTGTCATCATTTACTCACCCTCAAGTAGCTCCAAACCCGTATAAATGTCTTTCTTCTGCCAAACAGAAAGGGAGATATTTTGAAGAAAGTTTGTAACCAGGCTGTTTTGGGGCACCATTGACTTCCATAGTAGGAGAAAAAAATACAATGGAAGTCAATGGTGCCCCAGAACTGCTCTGTTTCCCACATTCTTCAGAATATCTTCTTTTGTGTTCGGCAGAACATAGACATTCATACAGGTTTGAAACTACTTGAGGGTGAGTAAATGATGACAGAATTTTCATTTTTGGGTGAACTATCCCTTTAAGTTGCCTGTGCCATATAATCATTCTGGCAGCATGTGTTTGGGCTGTTTATCGATTCTGAACTGCTGCTAGATTGCCCGCTTTTCTCACAGCTGAATATATTTGCACTTGAATTATCAGAATGCTACATTACTATGTGCCAGACGGTTCCGTGAACGACCCTTTGATAGCATTACATTAAGGTGAAAATCATCTGAGAATAAAATATTCAAAAGCAAAAATTAATTGTTTAACAATCAATGCTAATACGTAAGATATGAAGCAGTTCTTTTTTCCTAATTGTTCGTAATATCAGTTTGATTTTTCCTTGTTTATTTCTACCTAATTTACTTAATTAAAAAGATAAAAAAATAGTAATTTTAATATCCTATTTAGCCAAAGGTATGGATAAAGAGGTAGAATACTGAATAAACTAAACAGATCTCTTGTTGTGTGTGAGATTTATAGGTTATTATAGCAGTAATGAGATGTATAGATAAACTGTTCACTAAACGAGTATTGCTGATTACATTTTTACGGCTCATTCTTTTTCTTTGATTACTGTTTGATTGGTTTGTAGTCTAATGGTTAAAGATTCAGGCTGATAACTGAAAGGTTTTCCATGAACTATGACATTTCTGGCCTTGAGCAAAGCCTATCCTCAGGTTGCCGAAGGGGGGATTGTTAGGTACACACACACACACCATGATGTCTGTGTGCAGAATTGCAGACAGGCTGTCAGTGAATGTTTTGTCTTGTGTTTGTCTGTATATATATTAATGCATATATACAGACCAACACACACTGACGGCCTGCCTGGAATGCTCCAAACACAGACAAGCAGTCATACAAACTATGAACTTGCTTATCCAATCATATTAGAGTATTGCATCTAACTGTTGAATACTATTGTATATCAAACGCATAAATTAATATTACATATTTAGGATCACAGTTATTGATATTCATTAGGTCATGCTATACATTTTTAACTGTGCCTCTTCATCTTTCCAAATTCAGCTCCACGATGATATACTATGCAGTTGCTCACCCACACAACCCTCTCTTCCTGTCCTGCAGGCATCCTGTACAAAGGCAACGGTGAGAACGTCTTCATCTCCCAGCAGCCTCCAGTGATCAGCACCATCATGGGTAATGGGCGCAGGCGCAGCATCTCCTGCCCCAGCTGTAATGGCCAGGCTGATGGCAACAAACTGCTGGCTCCAGTGGCCCTCGCCTGTGGATCTGATGGCAGCCTGTTTGTCGGTGACTTCAACTACATCAGACGCATCTTTCCCTCGGGAAACGTTACCAGTGTTATGGAGCTAAGGTAAGAAACACAAGCTATTACAAGACGAATGGAAGGAAATTAAAAGAGGTATAAAAGAAAGTATAATGTAGCCTTTGTGCTAATGATATGAACGTACATGATAAATTGTTAGACTGCAATATGGGGCACTCAGCCCAGTATAAGGCTCATGTGGTCTGAAAAGAACGTGCTGACACTGACAGAGTTCTCGTCTGTAGAGGGTGACTCATTACTTGTGCTCTCGCCCCCTTAAGCCAAGAAGAAATGCATATTCCCATACCTCGCTTTTTTATGATCTACCACAAGCCTTCTATTGAGCTCGTCCAGCCCACATCAAAGGCTGTGTGTGTGTGTTTATTTACAGGGCTCAGAGAAATGACAGTGTTTTTCTCTGAGTATCTCTGCCAACTAAACTAAACTCTTTGTTTCTTCACAGAGATTAATCAGAGATTTTTAATATAGCCTCAAAGCTTATAATTTAAAGAAGCTGTCGATTCTAAGTATGTTTGTTCTTTTGTTGAAATATAATTGTATTTTGTTGGTTTCAGGACATTTATATGCCACCAAATCTATTGTGGTTGAGTTTAATTTCAATTTCAGTTGACATTCAAAATTTAGATCTTGTCATTCAGTTTGCATACTACTGGCGGCGCAACATCTGTATATTATAAAAATGCATTTTTAGTATTAAAATGTTTGAAACTCTTAATGCAAGCTAAAATGTAAATATATGACAGTTTTTGAGTAATCACTGAAAAAGTACTTTTAAGTTTTTAGTTCTTTTGTGGAGCACACAGGAGTTATTTTGCATGTCTTAGCTGTTTTTCTTTTTCTTTTGTCATATGAAGCTCAACAGCCCCGGTCTCCACTCGCTTTCATTGTATGGAAAAGAGCAGTCTGCACATAATATAAAATTAAAGCATAACTCCTTTAATGTTTTTCAGAAGATACAAACACATTCATGTTTGGAGTGACATGAGGGTTAGTAAATGGTGACAGATTTCCCCTTGAACAGGAAAATATCTCCAAAAAGCAGTCAAATGTTCCATCTCTGTAATATAAAAATTTGTTTTGATTGTTCAGTATGTTTTTTTTTAAGAGATGAAAAAAAAAGTAAGAACATTTTAAGAAGTTTAATTTCACCATACAGAGTGCAGCATGCTGATATTGATTTAATAATCTAAACTATCTGAAATATTCAAACTATATTCCCTCCTGACTGTGATCACAGTGTGTCTATAATCTAAACACCATGAAGTGCAGAGCTGATACATTACAAGCATGAGGTGAACACATGTGCCCTTCTCTTTCAAACCTCAAGACCTGTCATTTCCTTTCCTTAGATCTAGAGTGGGCTCACACATCCACAGAGAAAGAGACACGTAGATATTCTTTCAAAGTGCTCTTAGGGTTTCTCTATATGAAATCAGAGCCGCATCTCGGGTCTTTTATAGACTCTCGCTGAAATGATCATAAATTCTTCCCTCACACTCGTCGGGGCCTAGAGGGCCATCCATGTCACTCTCCTGCAGCACCTCATTTAGCCATTGCGGTGATACATGACCGCTACCTCTTATCTCCTCTCTTTCCTTATCTCTTATTCCTTTCTCTTTTGGCCTAAATCGTCTGTCTCGTCCTTTTAGCTGCCTCTCATTTTCCATCTCATGTTTTCCCTGCTTGTGTCTTTCTATCATTGACACTTACTGTATTTTTAACCTTATCTTATCATCTTCTGTGCCTTCCATCTGCCCCCAACTTGATACCAGCGCAAACAATCTCTCATATGTGCGCTCACACGAGGTCTCTATAAATGGCCCAGCACTTAACAGGTTTCAGTATCATCTTTGTGTGTCTGCTGCTCCTGTAAATTAAATTCTTTCATTAAAGCAGTAAAACACATGGATGAAGCAAATGAAATGGTGGTCCTCTGTGTGACATATTCACAGCGTGGCTCCTGTGCGGTTAAAGGCAATGTTTAAGGAATTGCTTTTCATTGTCTGGGACACAATCAATTTGCTATTATGGGCCAGTTAACCTCAGCATGTGCTGTGAGCTCATACTGTTCTTCAGTTCCCAGGTGGAATATTCACACATCTAACTCTGTTTAAGAAACAAGACAAAGTACAGTTAACAGACCCGTCTTGCTGCATTATTTGCCATCTATGTGTGAGGAGGAGAGATTAATATATGCACACCTGTTTTTTTTCCCTTTCTTGACAAGATTTATGTGCTTCTGCTGTTTTACTCTCTCTCCCTTTCTTATCTCTCTTATTTCTGCTCTTTTTTTCCTCTGCTACCCTAAGAAATAAAGATTTCAGACATAGGTAAGCCATTCTAACTCTGTCATGGATGCACAGGACCTTTCAGTCTGGTGCAGGTCATTTTTATACAAGTGTTTGTCTCCTCATAAGTGTTGCTGCATGCCATCAGAAGTAATGTAAATGTGTGTCATCTGCCCCAGATGTTTATGGAGTACCAGTGACATTTTGTGATAAGTTTGTTTGATTTTCTTGGTATTATTTAATTCACATAAGTTGCTTTAAAGCTTGTTGCCCAAATCTCTACAGTGAAGTCCGAAAGTCTAATAGTTTGTTTTTTAATTAGAAATTATATCATCAGCATAACAATTTGTTATAAAAGTGTGAAGTTTAATTGTTTTTCATACACTCTAGATGCATGATTTCCACATTTGTGTAAATCCTGAACATGTGAACCAGCATAATTTTAAAAGCTTCCAAAAAGCATCCTGCGTGTGCGATGGGAGGAAGTCTGACCTTTTATACAAATAACTCAGCTGGTCCGTTTTTAAATCATAAACTTTATTTCCATGATTAAATTGCATCTTATTTCCAAGATTTTCAATGTGGTCTTAGACTTTTGGACTTCACTATATATTGAGAAGTTCTTCAGATGTTTTTGTTAATGGTTCAGGAATGAAGTACATCCCTTGAAAGTACTACTGTACAGGTTATGACAACAGATCTGAATTCCTGACAAAATTGTTAGAATAACTGAACATTGTGGCTATCATTTTTCTTCAAACACAATCTTAGTATGTCAGTGGTTTATAAATCAACATCACAAAGTTTCCAAGTCTTCCCAACACAATGAGAAATTCCTTTCAGCCCTGTGAAATCTCTTTCTCCACTTTTGTGGATGTAAGTGTAGCTTAGCGGAGGCATTTATGTAGAACACAAGTAAAATATTTTCTTTTAATGTGGCATATTGCATATACCAGAAAGACAAAAGATACCTCATGTAGCTTAGAAAGAACAAGGTTGTTTTTTGAATTTCGTCTGCACTTTGATTCTGTGGCCAAATTGGTCAGAAAAGGTTTAAGTAAAATACACAGATGTCCATTTCAGCTGACACTGGTGTAGACCTGTTTTCTCAGTAAGGATTCAGGACATAAACCTCTCTTGACAGGTCTCCAGTACTTAAGTTAACCACTCCAAATGTGTCTGCCCTGGACAAGCAGGAGTTCCTGATAAACATTGCAAATAGGCCCTCATCATCCCACACATGTTTGAATAGTTCCAGTTGAGGGACAATGTACAGAGCGCAGTAGATGTTGATATCCTACATTAAGTTCTGTTTGAAACCTCTGTAGGATTTAATCACAGACGTATGGAGCTCATGAATGGAAATGAGTGCAAGTAATTTGAAGTGGGCGAGCCAAAGCCATTAGAGCCTGTTGAATAAATTTGCAACCAGGTATAAATTTAGGAATCCCATGGACATGCTAACCATTCCTCTATGTCTCCTGCCAAATCATTTAAAATGGAATTAGAGACCAACTTCGCTATATGGTTACACCGTGTGTGGGCAAAATAGTTCTGTTTAAGTAATTAAATGGCCGCATTTTTAGACACATCAATATTTTTCTAAATGCTTCTGAGAAACAAAAACGTCCCATTAAGCATTAATGACTCTGAATTAATAAGTGCTAAGAGTTATTAATTCACAACCACTGTTGCTGGCGGATGAGCATTACAAGCCACCTAATGGCTAGCCTTCGTCGTCCTCTTGTCCCAGATGTCTCGGCCCATCTGTATGTGTCATCAAGGCATGCCCATATACCGTAATGCTCCACAGAGCCTCATAAACTCAGGAGATTATTGACCCCAAACCTCAGTGTCCTTAAACCAAGCCAACTCTAAGTCTTTCCCCTCCCTGCTTCACTCCCAGAACTCACATTTGTTTCCATTTGGCACATCAAAATGTTTTATGGTATAATAGTTTTAGCTTGTTTGATTTTTATTTACTCTTAAGTGCAATGTGGGTTCTGTGCCACATAGCAACAGTAACTAACATCATCCTGAGACCTTCTTAGCCCCTTTTCTGAGTTGCTGGAAGCATGCTGATTCAACTTATGAACAGTGTAATTAGCACATGTGATTTGCAAATCTACTGTATATTGCTTTTCATTTCTTTTTTGTAAACACACTTCAGTAATGAGTAATGAGCTTCTTTGCTGCCATCTAAACACCACTAAAATGAGGTACCTTAGGTGACCTTCACTTCAGGAGCATGCCTATGATGCCTTAAAATCCTACATCCATAGGCAGCACACTATGTCTTGGAACAGAGCAAATATCTAATAACCAAACAAAGGATCAGCTCAAACATGGAACCCTGTTTTTTGGAACTTTTTAAAATATATATATAAATAAGTTAGCAGACCGTTACTGTACAAAGCAGAAGCTTCAGCTACAGCAGCCCACATCTGTTTCAAAACATGTATAACGAAAATGGCCTGCCCGGCAGGCAATCCCGTTGCAAGCTGTCTGTGCTATTCTTAGTCCTTAGTCGCTTCTAATTGAAACACTTCGACAAGTTGTTGATTTTTTTTCAACAGATACATCACTTCATGTTGCTTGCTGGCTTTTTCCTCTGTCGTAGGGGTGCGGGTGGGAAATGCAAATGATTGAAAGGATGTGACAGTTTGGTGGGCATCATTATGGTTGTGTCAGACGATAGTGATTTCCAGTCATAATGCATTAGGTTCACTCTGATAGAGTGCTCAACTCCTTTCCCCTCTAACTGGCCGGGCCAAACAAGTACATTCTCTTCAACAATAAAACACAATAGCCTGAGATCAGTGATCATGTTTCTCATACATCTGTAGGCCTTCAATTTCTATCTTAACATTTGTGGTAGCAATTTTTTTTGCGCTTATAATAGTTCACAGTCATAAGAAACTGAGACATCTGCTGAAATAGATGAAGAAGAAAAAATAAGTTTTTCATGCTACAATCTCTTTCCAACTTAAATCTGTTCAGTTATTCATTGCTTCAAGCACTTCAAGCATTGTTTATTCACCCATTCATTTGTTGCTATATCTGTTTGTTTATAAATCATGACTGTTTTTGTTGTGCTATTATACTATACTGCTCTTCTTGTAATTGTGAAATTTCTACCTTTGTCCTGTTAGCAACAATCCTGCACATAGATACTTCCTAGCAACAGACCCGATGACAGGTCAGCTGTATGTTTCGGACACCAACTCACGACGGATCTTTAGGCCGAAAGCCCTGACAGGAGCCAAAGAGCTGCTGCAGAACGCAGAGGTTGTGGCAGGGACCGGAGAGCAGTGTCTGCCATTTGACGAGGCTCGATGTGGGGATGGAGGCAAGGCCACTGAGGCGCTACTGCTGGGACCCAAGGGTAAAAAGACTGAACACCCGCAAATCAATATGGACATTATAAATATTCAGTGTCAAAAACTATAGCTGAACATGACACACTATGATAACACAAACACAAATAATTTGAGGCTCGATGTGGGGATGGAGGCAAGGCCACTGAGGCGCTACTGCTGGGACCCAAGGGTAAAAAGACTGAACACCCGCAAATCAATATGGACATTATAAATATTCAGTGTGTCAAAAACTATAGCTGAACATGACACACTATGATAACACAAACACAAATAATTAAAAAACCCCTTTTGCTTTTTTTAAATATTGGTTTAGTTAAGCATATCAACACAGCAACAGCCAGCCTTTAAGTAGTTCACACAGACACATACATTTCAGTGAGAGACCTAGTGAGGATCAGAGAGCCTGAGGGTTCAGTTCCTTGCCTCTTAGTTTTAGCGCTGACTAGGTTAAAAAAAACCTTTATTACTTGCTCTCAACATCACTCTTAGCTCAGGAATAATTCACCACCCAAAAGCACATTGTGAATAATTCACAGAGTGCTGCATCTTCAGTGACCTGGAAACCACAGGGGCAAGCGTGACATGTGTACCAGCCGTGCTTCACCTGTTTGTAGGTGCGGTGTGTTTGTCTATTTGAAGCTGTCACATCTGCCCCCCACCCATCCACCCACCCTCTCTTTCTACATAGGCATTGCTGTGGATAAGAATGGGTTCATCTACTTTGTTGATGGTACCATGATCAGGAAAGTAGACCGGAATGGCATCATCTCAACAATGCTGGGGTCTAATGACCTCACATCTGCTCGGCCTCTGACCTGTGATACTAGCATGCATATTGGACAGGTATGCATTCATACTCACCTGCTCTACATCACTGTTTAATGCACTTGAATCTTAAATATTAATTTGTCTATTTTGGCTGCCACAAAAGAAAAGCTACAACACTGCTAACCTGAATGAAGTATGATTTATAGAGTTGAATTATTGAATTATGCCACTGGGCTTAAACAAAATATTAGAGGGCAGAAAGGCCAAACTTCGATTTATTTCAGAATGCAATATGTGATTCTCAGTACTAAGATTCAACTGTTCAAACCTGATCCTCTGGCTTTATCACTGAAGTGGTGTTAGGATGAGTGGCCTCGTTTCAAAGATAAAAGCAAGAGCTGGAAGCAATTGAAACTGTTGCCTCATTTGAACTGGAAGGCAGACTTGTTTTTCATGTTGTCCCGATACAATTTTTCAGATGAGATTTGTTTAATTATTATAAAAAATGCAGTATTATTCCTTTAACAATTTAATATTATTTTGTATTTGTTTTATGATAATTATTAAACATTTTTACTATCAGAGGAGCCCTGTAGGTAATAGTTTATTATTTAAAGGACCACAACATTGACTTTCAGAGCTAGCAGACTTGAAGCTGAATTAGTTTGTTTTTCCAACCAAGCACTTATAGTAGACTGTACTATGACCTGCTATCTATCCACTAACCTCAAGACAACCTGAGATCAGCCCTCTGTGGTAGCCTCCACCCAAATAAAATACAGAGATACAGGAGCTCCCCCCTCTGGCTGCTCTCCCTCTGGTGCTAAATGAATCTAATCACCTAAGCTCAGTAAGCCTGTGGAAAACAAATAATCTGTTAGAATTTCTAGACACAACAAGAGAAATAGTATAAAATAAAATATGATTAAGATGATGAACACTCAAATGAGATGAAGAATGCAGTCAAATCTGTAGGTTAATAAAAGCTCTTTTATTGTACTTGGACTGGCTTGCATCATGGGGGCCAAGTTGAGATCACATGATCAGCTGACTACTATTATTTTTATATCAGTATCCCACTCCAAGATGACTGCCATATTAGCCAGCTCAGCAAACAAGAAATGTTGTTCTTTGGAAATACAAGCCTATTGTGGTAGTGGGAGTAGGACTCTTATTATGAAGAGGGTATTTTACTTGAAAAGGGCCGATATGTAGTGTTTAGTAGACTTTCTCATCCACAATCTTAGGCAGAATCCTTCCTCCCCTCTCTTTCTGTTTTCTGGTCTCCCCACCAACCCCTATTTTCCCTAAGTGATGGAGGTTGGGGAGACATAAGTCGGTTGTCTAGCATACCCTTGGGTCCAGGCTCAGTGAAGCTCAATGAGGTATGGACAGACCCAGACAGTTGGTGTCAGCCTCACAATTACCCAAACGTTTGCTCTTGCAAGTCATCGATGTGCATCAAGTAGGATATATACAGCTCAACCTACACAACTGTCACCTACCCATGGGCGGCGCTAGGGAGGACCACGTTATGCTATGGAGGCTCTCTTTTATTTTTTATTTGATTCCTCAGTGTTTGCTAAACATTCTGTAATTTATTAGTCATTATATAATACAGCATGTGGTGTAGCCTACACTATGCCTCGTCTTATTCGTTTTTGTTAATAAACGTTTTGTAAGCTAGTTTGTCAATGTATCTTACTTTATTATTGTTGTTGTTAATTAAAAATAACAATGAATCTATATTTTGCTTTAGTCTTAAAAAGTGAAAGGTGTATAGTAAGCAAAACAGACAATTATCTTTTATTGTAAAACGTGACAAGATCGCGAAATCGAAAGTGAAAGCATCCAAAGCCTGGCTTATAACATAGCAAAAGAGGAACTCCCGTTAACAAAATTCAAATCACAAATAATACTACTGATGAAAAAGAACAGGTTGAATGTTAACCTCTTTCGTTTCCATATAACTATAAACTATGATAAATGTTCATCGGCATGCATTGATTAATCCCATGTTGTAGCAAAAAAAAAAAACGTGCTCGTTCGACCAACTGAGAAAGTTAGTGGCAAAAGAGCGACCAGTGGGAAGAATGAGTCTGAAGCCCTGAATTGCCCAGCTCCCCCTGTCAATGATCTAGCACCCCCTCAGCACCTGCATTCAATTATCTGCCGCCGCCCCTGCACCTACCTCAGTAAGGTCAATAGGGACAGCAGAAAATAGCTCAAGTTCTCTTCAATGAAATCTTCGGTTCACTCTGGGTTTTAAAATGTTCGATCTAAATCAAGTTCATCCCCAGAGCATATAAAAGTACCCTGTCTGCTTCTAAGGCTACCAAGTTGGGCTTTTGCATATCAGGTGGTGACCTGAAAGTTGATTAAACATTTTAGGTGGCATGTTGTGGCGCACCCAAGTAAAATCCGTTTGCCCGGAGTAAAATCTGGTCTTGAGTTCATGCATTATGCAGAAGGTGGAATCACAGATGGGCTATGGCTGAGCAGAGAAAGCTTTTATCCACAGGAGCTGCTGTAGTTCAGAACCATTACGCTTTAATGTGGTGCTCTTCAAATATGCTTAACCTGCCTGTGTGGCCACGGTGCAGGTTCAGAGCAGGAAGTGAAAGAGTGAATGAGCAGAAAGAGAATGAAGGAATGTCTGGTTTAGGAATGTCCCAGTCATGCCATATAAGTTGATTTCATTGAGAATAATTCTCATGAATCCATTCAAAGCTTTAGGAACAGACTGACAATTATATTGTCAGCATATCTTTGCAAGAGTGAGTTATAGATTATGCAGTTGCATAACTTTCCCCCACTGGCACTTGGCAGCGTTACTGAAGTTGTCAAGACTGTGAAGTATTCAAGAAATATTGAAACTGGATAATTCAGACAGACAAGACCATGCATGATCAAGGGAAGAGTTCTAATGCTTTCTTGGTATAAACTATGTCTCAGTGAAAGTGTGTGCTGGTGAATGATTTTATTTTCATTAATAGACGTCCAGACAAGACTGTCCTTCCAAATCATCTTTAAAAGTCTGGTTGAGGCCAGTCCTCCAAGCGGACGTTGTTGTTCTTGTCGTGCTTTTCTTTGCCAGACAGTTGTTCCCTGTAGGCACTGAGGAATTGCATCCCGTTGCAAAATAAATGACCCAGCGACAGGCAAATCGAATGAACTAGAGGCACCCAATGAATTAATCCTCCAAAGTAACGGATCCTTCTTCATCAGTGTCAGACCCAAACATCAACTGTGCACAGAGTGAGAGAGCAGGCGGGAGATGTAATAACGTGTTTGTGTCTGTGTGTATATCTATGGAAAATTCCGTAAGTGATCCACCTCCCTATTTGATCTGTCCTCTCTCCAGGTGCGTTTAGAGTGGCCTACAGACCTGGCCATCAACCCTATGGACAACTCTATCTATGTGCTTGACAACAACGTTGTACTACAGATAACCGAGAACAGGCAGGTGCGCATTGTGGCGGGCAGACCTATGCATTGCCAGGTGCCAGGCATCGAGTATACCATGGGAAAGCGTGCCATCCAGACCACTCTAGAAGGTGCAACAGCCATCGCTCTCTCCTACAGCGGTGTGCTCTATATTGCCGAGACGGATGAAAAGAAGATTAACCGCATCAGACAAGTCAGCACGGATGGCGAGATTTCTCACTTGGCAGGAGCACCCTCTGACTGCGACTGCAAGAATGACGCTAACTGTGACTGTTACCAGACAGGCGATGGGTATGCCAAAGACGCAAGGCTAAATACTCCTTCCTCTCTGGTGGTCTCTCCTAATGGAACGCTCTATGTAGCTGACCTGGGAAACATTAGAATCCGTGCCATACGTCACAATCGACCTCCACAAGGCTCTTTGGGTCTTTATGAAGTTGCATCACCTGCTTCTCAAGAACTCTATGTGTTTGACTCCAATGGAACGCATCAATATACTATGAGCTTGGTCACTGGTGACTACAAATACAACTTCAGCTATAGCAATGAAGATGATATCACTGCTGTAACAGATAGCAGTGGAAATACGCTCCGGGTTCGTCGTGACCCCAATCGAATGCCAGTGCGTATTGTTGCCCCTGACAACCAGGTTATTTGGTTGACAATTGGTACAAATGGAGGGCTTAAGACTCTCACAGCACAGGGGCAGGAGTTGGTGCTCTTCACCTACCATGGTAACAGCGGCCTGCTAGCCACCAAGAGCATCCAAATTGGCTGGACCACATTTTATGAGTGAGTGCTTCTATCAATTCCTTTACACTGTAGCAGAGCACATCTCTAAACCATTTAATTTTATTTTTAGGTTTCTAAGATTTTTAAAGCAGTTTTGACATTTTGAATAGATTGTTGCAGTTGTTGTTGCAGTGCAGGATCCTGCTGTATGCTTCTCTAAATCTTCTCCTTCGGCAAAAGTGTAGTCTTTAGTTACAAAACCTACCATTTTTTTCACCACATGCTATTTAGAGCATAGTGAAAATGCTAAATGAATTTGTATGACATTTTCAGGCTGGTGGTCTACCAAAAGGTTTTGCATAATGCCAGTCTGGGGTAGGCCAAAATGTTGGACACAGTGTCTGTGCACCTACCCTGCCATAACCACAAAGACACTGCAGGCATTGACAGGTCTTAACGATTGTGACTTCAATGAATCAAGTTTTTATTATGTTATAATGTGGGATTAATCCCCATTTTATATAGAAATGTCCTCAGGCCAGTTGTGAGTGTGCAAGGCAACTCAAACTAGCCAGCATTTGTTAAAAAGTAAACCTATATGTAACTACACTTTCTACATTTCTTGACTCGTGTACACAAATCAAATTGTCCATTTGACCTCTGTCAGATAGCACACATACAAAGGTTTCCGAGGACCCAAACAAGACTAACTCCAAACCATACATGCACGCTAGTCGGCTCAGAAAATCACTCTGGATCCATCACATCCAAGCCATCTCCTTTTTGAACTTTTGCCGTCTGGTCGGCGTTACAGAGCACCGAATACCAGGACAGCCAGGCACAAGAACAGTTTCTTTCCCCAGGCAATCTACCTCATGAACAGTTAATGTTCTCCCATTGTGCTATTAAAGTACAGTATGTGCAATAACCTTATACTTATTTATCACCCTAAACCCTAGTACATCCCTACAACTTATTTTATTTTATTCTATTCCTATTCCATCTATAGCACACATATAGTATGTACATACAATTTATTCTTTTTTTTGTGGTTTATATTTATGCATGTGTATTTTATTCACATCTCACTTTTATTATCTGTGTGTTGTTGTTGTCTCCGTGTACTGGAAGCTTGTGACACTATAACAAATTCCTTGTATGTGCAAACATACTTGGCAATAAAGCTCTTTCTGATTCTGATTCGGATTAATGTCATGGCATCATGTGAACTGCACGTCAATTGCAAAAGGTGTTCTAATGGCATTTTTGGTTTGCAGCTATGACAGCGAGGGACGTCTGACAAATGTGACATTCCCCACTGGGGTTATCACCAGTCTAATTGGGGAGATGGACAGAGCCCTAACAGTGGACATTGAGACCTCAGGACGAGATGACGATGTCAGCATCACCACCAACCTCTCTTCCATTGATTCTTTTTACACATTAGTTCAAGGTGCGGCAAGTCTCTGCTGTATTATCATTATTAACAATGACCACTGATGGCTCTATAAACTGACCTGTTGCTTTAAGTCTTGGAAATGTTCCACACTGCTAATCAAGCTGTAACTCACAGGTTAAATCAGTGGTTCTCAAGCTTTTTTGGTCGCGCCCCCCTTTAAACCTATAAAAAAATCTGGCCGGTTTTATTTCTTTTATATATATATATATATATATATATATATATGAGACTAGGAGAGAGATTGAACAAGTGTTAGTGACCAGTTTGCATGCAATTTCTATTCAGTCCTCAAATGTAACTGAAGTTGGGGAAATCAATTCTACCAAAAAATACTATACATGTTGCTAGCAATGAATGCTATAATCAATATAAATATTCTGTTTTCTAATCATAAAGGTCAACGGTAGAAACCTGCTGTCTGTGGATTATGACCGCTCACTGCGCACAGAGAAAATATATGACGATCATCGAAAGTTCCTTCTGAAGATTGTGTATGATGCCTCTGGTCATCCTACACTGTGGGTGCCCAGCAGTAAGCTGATGTCTGTCAACCTCACCTATTCCGGCACTGGTCAGGTCACAAGCATTCAGAGAGGTCCCACAGTCGAGAGGGTAGAATATGATAGCCAGGGACGCATAGTCTCCAGGACCTTTGCCGACGGCAAAACCTGGAGTTACACCTATTTGGACAAGGTGAGAATTGTGCATTTTTCCAATAGTAGGTAGGCCTGTTATATCAGATGATTTGCTGTGGTATGTTGAATATGTGTTGCTTTATTGTCAGAAATTTCCATGGGATATTTTTGCAGGGATGTTCAAATAGTCTGAATTCACATATTGTACAGATTCTAATTAATTGACAGTATTTGAAAATGACTAAATTCCTTGTGTCAAACACAGCATTATATGCTACCACAAATTTAGATTAACAAATGTATTGGCCTTTTTGGAGCTTGGCAATATAAATCTCCTATTTTCCTTGTATGGAAGTGCAGTTTGGACATTCTGCCTAATAATTTTGTGTTTCATGTCAGAAACAACATGGGAGTGAGTAATGTCTGGGTGAACTGTTTCTTAAAGTTCAAGGTGTCCACAGTGCTCCACCATAAATTAGATTTACTGATGGTTACTCCCTTTGAATTGGTTCTCCAGAAGTACACCATTATCACTGTCAGCAGTACAAACATGAAGCTTGTTGGTCCACAGAAAACTGAGATAAATAGCTATACAGACTCCAGAAACTGGTGTGTGCCGAGAGGCAGAGAAACTGGATGTTGTGGATGTTTCTAGCGAGGGAAAAGGCTTAGTAAGGTCTCATAGACAAAATTACAGTCTCAAAATGAGACCACAGGGAAAACTCATGGTTTGAGCTCAGCCTAATGATACCATAAAGAAAGATACAAGGAGTGATATGAAAAGAATAACTTGCACCTCCAACCCTACTTGCAGGAGATCACACCTTTTTTCGCTGTTGTATGCTATAGCCTTGTAAATACTAATGCTTATTAGGAAATGTTTTGTTTGTGGACATTAAAATATTATGAAATATTAGGTTTTTACAGAGTTTGAGATATCAGTTGGATGAAAAAGTGAGCTTCCTCCAAGAGAGCTCTCAGCTGGAACCACAAAAGTTTTGTGAAAAGAAAAACCACTGTGTGCAAATGTGCAGATTAAATATGCATGGCTAGCCTGTCTTTCCGTCGCCTGCCACATGCGCAGGTAGCGTGACCAGTGAGAGGATATCAAACATATGCCACCAGCAGTGCCTAGGGAACTAGAATAATGTCTGTCCAAGTATGGATGACATGGTGAAGGCTTCTCAAAGGTAGACACTCACTGTAGCAATTCCCCAAGATAGAGAGGCCTCTAAGGATAGCCCTCAAAATCTGCAGACATCAGTCAGTCAGTGAGCTTATTTTACCAGCAAAGACATGTATATACGTGGAGTGATGCGGAAGCACTGAATGCCTCACTCTCAGATCCATTCAGCGAAAGGCTCTGGGGATGTCAGTACTTAAGCCCACAGCGAGAAACACTTATTTATCAGCCTTTGCTTCAGCTCACCTCTCACATTGTCCAACAAGACCCAAAACAGATACGGAATAAACATGAGGCCTCAGTCATTCATAACTCAAAGACAACTTGCTGACTTTGTTTACCTCAAGATTCAAGCCTAGAATACAGATGGATTTTAAAAACCCTTCTTTTTATTTGATGCTCCAGTCCCACAATATGCAGAGCACGAAAATAGTTTTCAACCCACCTTATTGAGTTAAGTACGGGCAAATCATGAGGCTAAAGCCAGTAATTGCAGATCATTTTATATTTATGCAGACATGCACATTCAACAGACCTGCATTTAGAAGCTTGAGGGTCATGAAGAACTCAATTAGGCAAAGAAATAATCACTCTATGGAGCGTTAATGCCTGCTTTTACACACCATTTGCATTTTAATAGCATGTAAGAAAATGCATGAAAGAGTAATTAATTGTTTAGGTTAATTTCTCCTCTCTCCCACCTTTTGATTTACAGTCTATGGTGCTGCTTTTACACAGCCAGCGGCAGTACATCTTTGATTATGATCTGCAGGATCGACTCTCCGCCATCACTATGCCAAGTGTGGCCCGTCACACCATGCAAACTATCCGCTCTGTCGGCTACTACCGCAACATCTACAATCCACCTGAAAGTAATGCTTCAGTTATGGTGGACTACAGTGAGGACGGCCAGCTCTTGCGGGTGGCACACTTGGGCACTGGCCGACGTGTTCTTTATAAGTATCGGAGACAGAACAAGCTGTCTGAGATCCTATATGACAGCACACGGGTCAGCTTCACCTATGATGAGACAGCAGGTGTGCTGAAAACTGTCAACCTACAGAGTGAGGGTTTCATTTGTTCTATCAGATATCGGCAGATAGGTCCACTGGTGGACAGGCAGATATTCCGCTTCAGTGAGGACGGCATGGTCAATGCTCGCTTTGACTACACCTATGACAATAGCTTCCGAGTCACCAGCATGCAAGGAGTCATCAACGAGACCCCACTTCCTATAGATCTTTATCAGTTTGACGACATTTCCGGCAAGGTTGAGCAGTTTGGGAAATTCGGCGTCATCTATTACGACATTAACCAGATCATATCAACAGCTGTCATGACCTATACAAAGCACTTTGACGTCCATGGCCGCATCAAGGAGATCCAATACGAGATATTCCGCTCCCTCATGTACTGGATCACTATCCAGTATGACAACATGGGCCGTGTCACCAAAAGAGAAATAAAGATCGGCCCTTTTGCCAACACTACCAAATATGGCTATGAATATGATGTGGACGGGCAGCTGCAGACAGTCTACCTGAATGAGAAAATGATGTGGCGGTATAATTACGACCTGAACGGCAACCTACACCTGCTGAACCCTGGCAACAGTGCACGACTCACTCCCCTCCGCTATGACTTACGGGACCGCATCACACGACTTGGCGACGTGCAATATCGTATGGACGAAGATGGTTTTCTGCGCCAAAGGGGTACGGAGATCTTTGAGTACAACTCCAAGGGCCTCTTGGTTCGGGTGCATAGTAAAGCCAGTGGCTGGACCATCCAGTACCGCTATGATGGGCTAGGAAGACGCCTGGCCTCTCGCAACAGTCTGGGCCAGCACCTTCAGTTCTTCTATGCGGACCTCAACTACCCAACACGCATTACCCATGTCTACAACCACTCCAGCTCTGAAATCACCTCACTCTACTATGACCTACAAGGCCATCTGTTTGCCATGGAAATTAGCAGTGGTGAGGAGTTTTACATTGCTTGTGACAACACAGGAACACCACTGGCAGTCTTCAGCAGCAATGGGCTTCTCCTCAAGCAGGTGCAATATACTGCTTATGGAGAGATCTATTTTGACTCTAACCCTGACTTTCAATTGGTTATTGGATTCCATGGTGGCCTATATGACCCTTTAACAAGATTGCTGCACTTTGGAGAGCGGGACTATGACATTCAAGCTGGCCGTTGGACCACCCCAGATATAAGCACCTGGACCAGGGTGGGCAAGGACCCAGCTCCCTTCAACTTGTATATGTTCTGCAATAATAATCCCATCAGCAAGGTGCATGAGGTCAAGGAGTATGTCACAGGTGAGAAGAGGGCCCTTTTGGCATACTGTATTAGTCTTTTGTTTGTACGATTTTAATTAGTTTTACTGTTGGGCAAAAAACTGTATTTATCAGACAGCCTGTGAAGCTCCCGTGTACACACTCCCAGAGCTCCTATCCCAGAGACTAAAGGGAAAGGGTTAATGTTTTAGAAGTGAGGAGTTGTGCCTAAGTGCCACACACACTGCAGTTATACAAAAAAAACTGAGGCACTTCCTCTCATTGACTGAACACACCCCCATCCTACATATTTGTTCACATTATTGCATTGAATGGATAATGGACTCTCTAAGAGAGCTACCCAAGAAAAACTCAGTTATGATTTGTTTTTGTCTTTTTTATGTAAAACTTTAAAGGTGTCTTGGTCAGTGATAAAATGGAGAGAAAAAGGCAAATGTGTTTACATGCGCAGACCACTGCACCCAGATGAACTAATATAATGCCTTTTTCGCAAGGCAGTGACTGTAATTCAGTGGTTCGTACTGTCCTTGCTCTCAGCAACATGTTTTGTCAACTAGTGAGGACTGGGGTTTCAGACTGTGAGCTCGTTGATCATTTCTCTTCTGCTTTGATTTCTTAAGGGACACAGTTGTGGTTCATATAATCAAATCTGAGTGTACTCATTCCTGGTCACTCTCTCATTCCTGAACCAACCCAGGTGGTGAATAGAGCGGAAACTGACAGAACAAAATATATAAATATACATCTCATAACTGACCGGTACTTTGACAAGAGATGTTAGAATATCTTTATGGATTTTTTTTTTTAAGTAAAAAAATTCCACCTATCCGTACAACAATATTAGTCGCAGAGAAAGTAATTTATGTACAGTGTTTATACATAAAAATAAAATCTTACAAATATTGAGACTTTTTCGTCTTGTCATGCATTACTGTTTATACTCATGAATTTTAATATTTTATCTTATCAAAATTTGTGGTAATGCTAATTGAAATAAAATCAGCTGTACTGTGTCACTGAATCTTCAAAACTGTTTTTCTTCTCTTTCCATCCTCTGAAACTGATTGTTGCCTTTTTTTATTTCTATTTCTCTCTTTTTCAGATTGTCTAAATGCTATCAGCGGTTTCATGGCGTTACTGCTGCTGTAATCAACAATAGGTATAGAGTAGCTTTTTTCAGTTGTGAAAAGAGGAAATACTACAATCAAATACTAAAAACCCAACAAGGGTTTAGTAATTTGGCAGATATTATTCCTTTACAGTAAAGTCATGGTATTGTTCTGTCTTTAATTGGAATGAGTTTGAAGCTTAAAGCTTTTAAAGACTTTCTGTCCCTATATACAAGTTCACGCTTTAGCCTCGCTTTCTATCCAGAGACAAGATTATTTCAAAAACTTTCCGCTCTTTTTAATGTTTTAGATGAAGGATATATCACACTAGCATTAATATGTGTTGTCACTGGCAGCATGGGGGGGGGGGATTTGCAAGGAGTTTATATCCCTCCATTTTAACCATGATTAAAACTCCTTTGACAAGAAGAAACACTCAAACGCTCTTGAATCAAAAGGGTCATTAGACAGCAGAGATACTGTGGCTTTTTCCACTGAACACAGATATTGCCCTATGATCATGTTATGATGCCAGAAATAAAACTTGTTTTGCATGGGGTTAAATTTATGTAACTGAAATAACAAGTGCTAAAGCAGAAATTTAGAAATGTACTGAGCACTAAATAAGAACTGAACCGTTACCTTAAAAGAGAATTCCGCCATCACCCACATGAAGGAGATTGATTTAGGATTTCTTTTACTTTAAAATATTTGACAACAAATCTAAGAGCACCACAAACATTAAAGTGATCAGAAGTCACCCCAAAAGGACAAAAAATTCATTTGTATGCCTAAATGGACTGCCTCCTTCTTCAGATACTGTTTTTGTATAGGCTTCTTAAAGATTGTATAAAATAAAATGTTCTGACTAATGAATGAGAAAACATTGTTTCCGTTTTAGTTTGTTGTTTTCCTATGAAAAGTTTTTAAATCAATCATGTAACTGTATGGTGGAGCCTATTTTTCTATTCATGAGTGAATGGAGGTCTGAAGGGGATGTTACCCACCTGTGGGTCTGTGAGGTTTTTTGTTTGGGATTCTCAGTAACTGATTGTTCGAAGAGGGTCTGAGCTTGTTAGGGTGAACTTTTCCCCCTGAAAAAATAAAAAAAAGGTGAGCACTTAATTAAAACACTAGTAATAACCAGAACAAGAACCACTGCAATATTAACAAAGTGTTTCCCTTAAAAGGTCTACACAGGTTCTCTGCGATACAGTCATTTGTTTGCGTAAGGAGTGACCACTGTACTCAGGAGCCCTTCAATCAGTGTGTATGAACAAATTTCAATGTGTGTTGGTCAACATTGTCAAAATATTCTTATAAAAAGCCAGAACTTGCTTAACAGAAGTAGATTTGGGGGGAACGTGTGACAGAGTAGCAGTGAAGATACAAATGTCTGTGAGAGGAGAAGGGAGAACAGAAAACGACCTGATATGTTTGCTATTGATGGCATGCATACAGTATCAACCCAATGAATCAAAGGAAGCTCACTTTTTTCCTTATTAGTGCCAATATGTACATGATCTGTTTTGATATTCCTTTGCACTACAATGTATATGTTGAAGATGATGCCTCTACATTATACATTTTTGCAGTCGTCACGTCTCTGGTCTGATGTGAGGGCGATTGTAAATACTGGTTATTTTTCCTAAATTAAAAGGAAAGATGCCTGTACAGAAAATCATGAGTATTTAATTAAATACTTTCAAATAAATGCCATTATCATCACACAGTTTACAGTCACTTAACAGTAACGTTTTCTCATATCAGATCTGATGTGGGATTTGGGACTGAATTTGTCTGAGAACTGAACATTCAAAAATGCTGTGTGTGATTAGCTTTGTTGCTACTGCGACAAATCAACCATTGGTTTTTGCTCAATTACTTTGTCTTTTGAACAGTCTATATTTTGTGTATTTTGTATGATCTGTTTTACAAACTTGTTTCAAACAATTACTACGAACTGAAGTGATTTTACCTGTAAATTCAATAACTTATCTTGCAATCTCTCATTTGTAATGAGGATTTAGAGAATGTTGTATTACTGATGTTCTTACGTTATTTGTTTTTGCTCAGTTTTGCTTTTGTAATGTTTTATAGCCACGCAGCATCTCAGAAAAAAAAAAAAGCTCATGATTTCCATTTGATAGACACGTCTGTTTAGAGTGCAATTAAAGTGCAATTTTGATGTAATCTAAACTAGGTCACTGCTGGATTCATTACCTTTTATCTTCAACATGTTAATTGCTCCACAGAGATCAATCATAAAAATAAAATGTAATATTAAAAAAATTGTGTATTTATTAGTCCATTACACAAATGTGACCACATATCTTACTCATTAAGCGAGTCAGGAAAGCAATAGAGCAGTGGTTCTCAAACTGTGGGATGTAGTGCGACCCAGGAAATGTACACTACTAAAAAACAATTAAAAATTTACTTTAGATATAATGTTACTACTGTGGCACTTTTTCACAGATCTGCAAAGGGCCAATAAAGAATCGAAAGGGGCATGGATATTGATATTAATGAAAATGTGCCGTTATGGTTGTTACAATCCCTAATTCTGTCATTCACCCACTGTCTTTTGTTATTCCAAACCTTTATGATAATTTTCTGCAAAATACAAGGTAATGACAAACTACACTGAATGCATACAGGTTTGGAACGGCAGATTTCTACTCTCTAAAAAAAAACAATGGTACTTGGCCTGAAATGTTTGAGAATCACTAAAACACAAAGAAAAGCTGTTTTCTTTTCTAATTACATTCCTGTAGCTCAAGCGTTAGAGTACGGTGCTATAGCAATGCCAATGTCATGGGTTCGACATCGTATGCTTTGAAATGCAATGTAAGTCGCTTAAATAAAAGTGTCTGCCAAATGCATAAATGTAATTTAATTGAATATCAGGTCAATATCCACGACAGAACAGATAAAACGGAAATAAAAATTATCATCACAAAACAAAGCTTGTCGGGATAATAAATATGAAACTATTTCTTACATGGAGAGCATGTATGTGAAACAGTTCGGAAATCACTTTCGTGATTCTGTATAATTTATCAATTATCCATATGTTTTAGAACTGATGGGGAGAAAAGTGTCTCAGATTTGATACGGCACACTCCAATTATACATGTTTCATATATATAGCTCTATTGAAAGCAGCCTAGAAACTGAGGGCCAAAGATTAATGAATAAGTCTGATCCTCTACTACAGCCACATCACATATACGTACCTGACAACCAAACTTCAGCCATCCACACTCTAACAAGCCTTGTCCACCTCACAGAGCAGTCTGTGCCCCTCATTACTCTACTGAATCAGTTTATGTTCATGTTTATGAAGCAGTGAGCCTAAAGGGTTTGGGCCAGAAGACGGCCTCTGATTTCATGGGCAATGGCCCATTCTTACTGCAGAGAAATAGCTTTGCTGCCCCTTTGTTGTTTTGAGAGCACCGAGCCAGATGTGCTTCCATAACAGTGTTTGAGGCTCACAGTGGCATGGTGCTCTCAATCAGAGTGGGACGCCATCCAAAAGGCCCCACGTCTCAAATGTGGTCATGTTTCCAGCAGCTGCAGCTGCCGAACAGAAGACACAAAGCACACTTTTGGGATATGGGAAGGCTTGTGGGAAAAAAAATGTAATGGGTTTTCCAGTCGCTTCTGCTGCATGTCTTTGAGGCCAAGCACATCTCTTTTGTTTGCCATTTATGAGTAGGTCTGAAGTGCTGATCAAGGCCACGTGGTGAGATGTGAACAGGTGCAGTGTGTCTGTGTGCTCTCATTACATTATAACCTCAGAGCAGTTCTAACTAAACATCCAGCTCAGGCAATTCCTTGAGTGTGTGACAGACAAATTATATACAACAGGCTTATGACAGCTGATTTATTTTATGATACAAATAAAACAGATTAAGCTGGGTCTGCACACACATTCTGTGTTGTGCAGGGTCGTAATAATAAAAAATAATAAAAACCGCTTACTGATATTACTTGCGGACACAATTTCTGAC